TGTTTTCTCTATTTATTAAGCAATGCCTGTTATACTTAAGACCACAATTAGATAAGTTAGATTATAGGAGAGATATACACTGCCATAATACTCGCCATAAATGTAATATAAATCTTCCTTATGTTAGACTTGCTAAAACTGATAAAAAACCATTAATTTTAAGCAGTAAATTTTATAATAAGTTACCAATAGCCATAAGATTACTTAATGATAAGGATTTCAAGATTAAAATAAATAACTTTCTTTGTAATCAGCCATTATATTCAATAGAAGATTATATGTCAAGAACACTGACTCCACTAGATTTTAATTAATGTTATATCTTATGACTAATTTGACGTGCCAATGTATTTGTATGGAATATTAACTGGCAAATAAAAATCTCATTCTCACTCATTCTCATTCTCATCTCATTCTCATCTCATTCTCATTCTCATTCTCATCTCATTCTCATCTCATTCTCATTCATTCATTCTCATATCATACATAACCTCTTTGATGTATATTTGCCCTGACCTTAGATATTCATCACATTATTTCTTAACTTTTCAGGCTGGTGACGCAGGAATTGACATTTTACCTTGAGGATTTGAAGAGAATCAAAGTTCTTCCTGAAGAAGAGTTGTGTATCGAAGCCATGTCTGACATTTGGCAGCCCAAGTATAGATAAACTTGTATACTCAGTTATCAGATGAAGTCGATACCCAAGTGTTGTGTTCAAAATGCCACAAGTTTTCGCCTAAATTTTACCTTTTGTTACCAATTTTATTTGTAGTCACATAGGGGTTTTTGCACCACTTATTTTGAATATGGCTGTGAATTAAGGAATGGTTTTTCATACTTTTTATTTAGCCTCCGTTAAAAAAAATTGCGTAAGTCCTTGGAGCCTAGACGTTCTAACTCATAAAGCAATTAAATAACTTTAAATTAAATTTCCAATTTCACAGTGCACTAGATATTTAAATTACAATCACTTTGGTATAAAAAAAATATTTTGAGATGGTAAAATAACTCTTCAGCGGCTGTTTGAAATTAACATTGATCTTATGGCAGGCAAATCCAAGATGGCCGTTGGCTTCCATGGACTCCCTCGGAAAACAATTCAAAATTACAAACAGCATTTCTAATCTCACAGTTTACTAGATATTTAAACTATAATCACTTTGGTATTTGAAATAATATTTTTGGATGATAATTAACTATTCAGCAGCTGATTGAAATCATCCAAGATGGCCGCTAGCCTCCAAGGACTCTTAAGGTAATTTTCATGGGCTTATTTCAACACCAGTAACCAAGGAATTTAACAGTTTCTTTTCCAAGTTAACACCAATATTCTAAATCCTTGTCTCGACTATCTAAATTCATCCTGATACTACAGAAAATCTACCCTTCTAGAAACCTTTTTCTGTCTCTAAACAGTTTGATATCCAGAAAAAATAAATTGTATTAAATTAGATCAAAAATCAAGGAATCTCCAGTTTCCTCCTTTATATCGTGTTAGATAGTTCTCTTGGTTTGAATAGATAATTTAAATTGTCATACTCAGTGTAGCTGAAGCGGTCGCGAGAGTCGTCAAGTATTGTGACATGAGCCACTCTCCTTGTCGTTGTTCGCTGCGACGTTGTTGCTGTGACGTCTCGTCCACTTCTCTGCCAGACGCAGGGTCTCATCCTTGGTCATCCCTGCGGTCCGTCCACTCCTCCTCGTCCATCTCGTGGTCAGACGCCGTCTCTCCGATACCTGACAAGTTCTCAAACTCTATCCTCTCAGGTGTGGCTCCTAGGTCGTTCACGTCCTTCTCCTGCAACTGCATAACCGTGTCTGGTGTCTTGGGTAAAGCTCGCCTTGCAATATTTTTTTTGTTATTTGTTATTTACTTGTTCCTCTTTTCTTGTTTGAGTCATGCCGTAATGATGTACACAGAAAAACTATCTTCCAAACCTTCCACCTCTGTCGTAGGAGTAATTGCCGAGCCTTCTTGCAGTATTCACAACGGAAGCAGCCCCTATATAAGAACTTGCCCTCGGCGCTCACTCTCTCCATCACATAGACCCTCTTGGCACAGAAATGGCAGATCTCTGAGCCACCAGTCGTGGAGATTTCAGTGCTGCTTTGGAGTTAGGCTTCTGCAGCACAAGTTACTCTGGCTCCTGGTTCATGTTGGCCAGATGGGCAGCCATGGCCGACACCTTGCCTGGCTCAAGCACGCTGCGCTCCTTCATGTGTCCCTCTATCTTCTTGAGAGTGTCTTCGATCTCACTGTCCTTGTTGTTCCTACCGTCTTCCTTGGTGAGCCTTCGAACCTTATCTTCATACTGCTCCCTGCTCCATTTTGGGACTTTGGGCTCCGTACGACCTTTCGAGCTTCTGCCAAATTTTTTTTCTGTAATTTTCTTTACGCCACACTACATTATTTTGATGAACTTTCCACGCAAGGATTTAGTCCAGAAAACAGCTGTTTGCCGCCAGCTTATTCAAATGGGGTTTCATTGCGTAATACTGTTCTGCAATGAGTTTTACCGGACACCAATCAGCTGATTATACTGTATTTTCGTGGCAATTAGTGGTTATAAACAAAAACATAACCTCTCATGACTAGTGATTTTTAGTCCTTTAGTTGGTGGAAATATATAAGGATTTGTACGGATTAAGTAGTATGGCGTAAACTATCGTACGTAACTCGTCCAAAATGTGTGTACCGGACTCGTATGGAAATCCCGTACTCGACTTCGTCTCGCACGGGAACGACCACACTCGTCCGGTAAACACTTATTTTCAGGACTAGTAACGTAATATACTATTTCGATTTCCTTCACGTTCCAATCGGATTTTTCAATTTTTCCGATAGCTCTATGAAGATCTTTTGGCTTTTTGTCGTACGCTCCCTTTAATCGGTCCTCTATGTGTTTCATCCGGCCAGAAAACTCTTGGTCCATAGAACCTCGCCTGACTTCAGGCAACAATCTCTGCTCTTTATCTCTACTAACTCCCAACGATTCCAACTTCTTAACTCTTTCTCGGCAAGGAGTTCTAATATATTAATATTAATAAATATTCCTGAGAGAGGTAGGACAACATGGCGAGTGTGTCTGGTACTTCACACTGCTCCATCTCCAGGCCAGTCATAACCGGTGGAATGCCCAGCTCCCTCACCAGTATGTCGAAAGCCAGCTGGTTGTTCTTGGTTGTCAGAGGCACGAGAGAGTGGAAGTCTACGAGGTCCGGCCTGTAGCGTTGGATGATGGTACACAACGCCAGACCATCCTTGAATGAGCTGCTCATGTCATTGATGTGAACACTGTCATACAGCGTGACCTGCTTCTTGTTATGTATATTTGTTATTGTTTTGTTTTAGTTTAGTATTTATTTGACTAATGTTGTTGTTATTTAGTTATATACCTTTATTTGTTTAGTTGACTAAGCTATTGAAATATTTACGAATAGTTGTATTTTAGTTTGTTTAGTTTATTTAATAATATTATGTTTTCTACTAATGTGTTTTATGGTTGAAAAGATAGTCATATTGCTACTTTGCCGAGTTAATTTAAATTAAATACTGTTTACTTCACATTGAAAAGATAATACCAGTGGTAATATAGTGCGGAATTATCATACAGTGACCCAGATTTTGTGTGATTTCCAAAACAGTCAAGTCGCTTAAGAGAAATTCTGTAATTTAACTGCAAATAACTAAATAGCGAGTTTCCAAGAAAGCATTTATTTAAATATCACCTCAGCCATCTGTTGTAAGTAGATATTAGGAGGATAACACATAAACTATGTTAAATTAAACCATTAAAATATAAATATGAATCTGAGAATGTATCCAGAAAATATGTACAAAAATTTATTACTATGTTAACAAAATGTATCACTGTATGAAGGATAAAATAGTTAATTAAGACTGAAAGCTACAATCTGTTTTGGTTTTAAAGTTAAACGTTTATTGTTTGTATTGTATGTAAGAAATCTTTAATTGTAGGTAAGTAGAACTGATGGTAATGTATATTTTTACTGTAAATTATATATAGAGAAAAAATATTGATTTAACAATAATTATAAAAACTACTGGTTAATACTTCTCGTATTAAGATGTATGTTTTTTATAACATTGTTTATTGCAGTTTTCTGAATCTTGCCTTAATCAATGGATTGACTTTGATAGAGTGGTATATTAAGAGTGTTAAATCTATTAATTGTAATGTATTATATTAATTCAATAGAGTAACATAAAACACGTTTAAAATATTTATTTGTAAATATGCATGAATAGAGTCTACATTTTTACATATATTTAATTTGTAAATACATTTAAATTGAATAAAATAAATAAATTGCTCATTATAAAACTTCTTGTAAGTAAAAAAAAATATTCAAAGTTTATTTTTCCTGCATTGCATTTACTTACTTTTGCCGCACACTTTTTTGTCATACTCTTTTTTTTTTTGTTGCACACCAGTATTCCAACCAAACAACAGCGTGCTTTTTTGCAGCTAAGTGCCACTTTGCACCAAAAATAACTATTGTAAAATATTTCGAATTTAGCAAAGTGTTTAAAATATCAAGTTTATTTGACGTTTTGAAATTAAAACAAATCCAATGTTATTTCGCTTAGTTTTTTAACAAAGCTAATAAAAGAGTCGAATGGTCTTCTTAAAAGTACTACTATTCTATGTGCTTAGGCCTACATATTAAAATGTACACCAAGTTTCAGTTAAATATAGTTTGTTAAAACCCTAATTTGTAGCTTTAAAATCTGAATATTTTCAAATAAAACGTCTCCCTCAATATAATCTCTGGTTTTATAACAAAAGCTTACATTGTAAAATCACCCAAAATAAGAGAGAAACGTTAAGTCAATGTTACACAAGCTTCCTCACATGTTAGCAGACATCATGGGAACTATAACTTCAGACTTTATAATAGGATTAGAAATCTGCTTCCTGTATTGAAACACAAAAATATCATTGGGTAAACAAAGGACCCACAAAATACGAACATTCAGTCTACAAATTGTTTATTTCAAAGTTCTCATATGAAATAGTACGATCAAGGCCCCCGTGCTATTGACAACATTTATTCTTAAGACTACAAAGATAATTCAGGAGCACTCAATACCATATAAAAATATTCTGTCAATTATATACATCAATATACACACCAATGAAATAGGTAACAATAAAATAGGAATATGATAAAGAAAATAACTTCATATCTTGATATATATTAGATATTAACAAAAATACAAACAAATATATACACTTAAAACAAACCGTAATGTGGTAAAAATTGTTCAATTTCAAAGTTTGATTCATAGGAATTTTTAAGTGCTAGACATACTTTGATGATCTTTCTAAAAAAATAATTTGGGGTTCAGAAATTAATAAAAAGAATCTACACAAGCATTTTTTGCATTATGCTCAAAGTTGGTAAGACACATTTGTTCCACTTGGTTATAAAATAAAAATAGTGCATAGTGTGTGGTCATAAACACAGATGAACCAGTAAATCTTTGTCTTTTTAGGTATGGCAAAACTAGTTTTCAATATTTAATATTTTAATTATTTAAAAATTAATTTTTAGGGCCAGTCTTTTTTTAAATTTAGTTTTAAGCGAAATTTGATTTCTCTGAAAAAGTATGAATAATTTCATCAAGTTCATCTCTTGCTGTTAAAATTTCCATCGATTCAAATAATAATGTTTGAATCTGAAGAAAGATGGTCAACAAAAAACTTGTTGGACCCCAAACTTGTAAAATGTATCAAAATTATACCAGTCTTGCCTGTCTCTAAAAAAAGTTTACATTCAGCCATAGGCTTGAGTTAAATTTCTCATCAAACCTTACCAGCTAAATAAAATTACCTGTGTTAAAACTACTTTAAAACTCAAGTCTTTTCGTTGACAGTAACAAATTAAAATTACATTTTAACTTGCACAAACAATCAAATTCAGTTCAAGATTTCAACTCACGTACATTCTGCAACAAAAATAAGAAATTTATAAATAACTGAAAATAAATATCTTTAAAAACAAACAATAATATGCTTTTAACATAATCTATATCTATGTAAGACATCACCAAAGCTATTCCAAATCATAGACAAATTAAATCTTTACCTAACTAGAAAAAAATAGTTTCACCAAAGAACAACTTAAAACAGTTCAACAAAAGCCATTGGAAGCAAGGTTATACAGTGTGAAAAATTAAGTTGAAACAAATCTAAGGTTCCGTAATTTTTCACATCTAAAATTTTTTTTAACCCCCTAACGGGGTAGGGGGTGACTTATTTTTTTCAAACAGCAACCCCTATTGAGTGACCCCCTCATTTTGAAGGATTTGTCAAAATAAACACAATGATGCAAACCCGAGGTGGATATCTCACCCCTAGCCAAAATGACAGATATTCCAAAATTTTATTAACTGTATGTAAAAAAGCACCAATTTCACAAATATGGAAACAAATCTGTATTTTTAAAACCGAAATAGATAGAAATATTCTGTTAGTGGAATTGATTGTTAACATAGGTTCCGCATTTTTTTTATTCAACCATATTTTATAACCCCTTTAACAGGGTAGGGAGTGAGGGTGATTTATTTTTTTTAATAACAACCCCTATTTAGTGACCCCTCATTTTGAAGGATTTGTCAAAAGAAATACAATGGCGCAAATCCAAGGTAGATATTTCATCCCTAGCCCAAATGGCGGGTATTCCAATATTTGATTTATGTGAAAAAGCACCCATTTTGGAATGCCTGCCATTTTGGCTAGGGGTGAGGTATTCACCTCGGGTTTGCGTCATTGTGTTTCTTTTGACAAGCCCTTCAAAATGAGGGGTCACTCAATAGGGGTTGCTATTTACAAAAAATAAGTCACCCCCTACCCCATACCTTGTTAGGGGGGTTAAACAATTTTTTTGGTGTAAAAAATTGCGGAACGTTTGTTAAGAATCGAACTCCACAGACAGAATATTTCTACCTATTTCGATTTTAAAAATACAGATTTGTTTCAATCCTTAATTTAGGCTACACACTGTATATTTGTATTCGTTGTATTAACATTTTAAAACTAAAGAAGACAATAATATTATAAAATTAAAATTACCTTTTTATCTAATCCTGTGTATTCCATAAAGCAGTCCTTATGGTGAAATAGGCCTAGCCTAATCAATGTTTGGTACTATTTTTACTTTCGACTAAAATTATTATAATTGTATAAAACGTAGAATAGTGATGTTTTAAAATTACAACATTAAAAGCCACATAGTAGAGATAAGATCAACACATAGCCTATATAGTAGATAAATAATTAACTTACTAACTTGGTTAAAACAAAACCAATAACTTTGTATATGAAGTGCATAGGAATCCCAAAGGAGATTCCCCTGATATCTGCCTTATAGTGCAGACTTGTTACAGTCCAGTTAAAAATAATAAGAAACTCCAGTTTCAAATGCATCTCATGTAGGGTTGGGTTTCCTGGACTAATTAGTTGTAACTAGAATTGCCTGAATTGAAACCATTCGATTCTTATACTGAAATGTTGACTTTGGCCATCCCTGGCCATAACTGATTTTCATACTGATTTCAATTCATGCACGGTCACGGATGCCTAATATTTCTGCCGCTCTTGTTTCATCAGCTACTCAATAAAGTTTTTCCATCTTGACAAAAAAGTATAGATTAGATTTTTTTACATTAAATCAAACCACTAAATCACAATTTTAATTCCAATTGAACAAACTTGCCCAAAGATTTGACCCTTAGTGATAGTTGAGATTGATGGAGCGTTCAAACGCGTCTTCACCTGTCGTGTCTTGTATATGGACAGTCTCACAGTCGTGTTCCGAAAGTTCCGCCTCGTCCTCTGTAGAGTCTCCGCTGGAGCTAGGCGGGGCCAGTCCGATGGTTCTCTTGACATTGCGGGGCAACTCCTTTGTCGCAGCTAGCTGGTGGTAGATGGATTCTGCCCGACACACGATCTCCTCCAAGTCAATCTTCATTGACAGGTCGTTGACGTGCTGAGCAAACAACAGGTTGTGAGTTTAAATATCAACAATAAACCGTTAATTGCAAACGAGCACTACAGATACAAAGACATGCATTAAAACCGTTAAATTAAAACTGGTGGTTTTTATACATTACCAAAATAGCTTGAGTAAAAACAGTTCTAAAAACACTGTTAAATTTAATTAGTTATAAATAGTATTCACTTCCATTAGTAAATGCCACATTTCAACAATTGTTATTTCCAATATATCATGGTCACTAGGTCCGTCTCTGACTGTATAGTATGACTTTGTCAATGCTTATTGTTTTACAACAATAAAAGATTATGAAGAGAGTGATAACAAGTAACAACAAGTATTTACATTAACGAAACTTGTTAACCAAACTAAAAACTACCATAAAATAGGTTAGGTTTTACCTTTAAAATCTCATTGAACTGGTATTTGTTCTCGATGAGAATGTCTTTTTCACAGTCCAAAATAGCCACACACAGCAGCAAGTGAAAATTCGGACAGGGTAGATCAGTGAATATAGTCTGGAAAAGGACAAAAAATAATTTAGTTAATGAAATAAGAGACAATTGGACACAATTGCCATCAGAAGGAATTTCATAAAATCAGAGTTGCCCACAATGGCCACAACAGTAAAAAATTGTGAAATGCAATACACTCACATACAACTGCCATACATTGGCCAGCTAATATTATTTTTACACAATTTTAAAAATGTGACTAAAATTTAAAATACCGTACATTTTTTGTCCTTGGTGCTTCGAGTTGTCCTACAAGAAAAGAAACTTTCACAGATGTTTTTTTTTTTTTTTTTTTTTTTTTACAGAATCAAGCTCAGTTGGCTTACTTGAGACAATTAAAGATCTTTACTAATTCTATATGTACTGCAGAGCAGAATCAAGTATAAAATATACACAATAAGTCATAAAACATCAAAAACACTGAAAATATGTCCTAATGTATGACTTTTTGCATTTTTTTAAATTTCAGTTCAAATTTAAAACAGAAGCTATCTTCTCATTGGTTGCAAACCAATACAGAAGTCCCCTGTTAATGAGGTGTGAATTAGCATACCAGAATAGACAGAATTAGGTGTGAATAGACTCCAGAAATCTTCCTATCCACACCACTATAATAATTACCAACCCTCCAGTAATGTCTAAAAAAGATGTTCCTTTAAAGTGTTACATATTTTACTGTGTGTCAGTGTCAGTACCACGGCTATAAATGACCAGGGCTCACAGTGCATCTCATACTAACCGCAGGCCTTCCGTTATGTATTTGTAAACTCAGTTTCTTCAGCATCTAGACCTGTGTTTGGCAAGAAAAAAATCTAAAGGAAAAGTATTCAAATAAAACATTACCTCCCATAGCACTAGGATGTCATCATAGGTGAACTCTCGTTTGAAGAGCACCAGCAGCCAACGGAAACAGAAGAACATGTTGCCTGAGTCATGACGGTCCAGATAGCCAGCCAGCTCTGGTTCAGCCGCTCCCAGCAGACTGTGTAACTGTGACAACTGCTTCTTCATGCCTGCCTGGTCCATGTCAAAGTTCCTATACTGTAACAAACATTAGGTATAAAAAAATTGTACAAATTATTCTCAAATTAAAATTTTATGATTCGCCCATTCTAGTTTCAAGAAGTAGGTAAACATCCCAAAAATCTACAATATTCTGAACCATCCATATACATTATACATGGTGTCCATAAAACACGTTCAACACTTTGGGAAATGAATCCTCATAGTAAAAGGAAGAAAGAAGTTCATGTTAAGGTATGTCCGAAAATACATATTTACCCAGATATCTCCCATTTTGTTTTTTATACAGTTTTATGTTTTAACAATTATTATGAAACTTGGTAAGCCAGTTAACGTACACAAGACTATTATAGAAAAAGTAATAAAATTGGTCCGAATAGAAATTTCCTAATGACAGCTGTTAAAATTTGTATTACTTAAGTAACTCAAAACTGGATTATTTTATAAAAAAAGTCAAAAACAATTTATTTAGCATTTTTAATTCCCTATCAAACAATACAAAGAAAAAAAAATCTGACGGAAAACAACTGAAAGATGACGTTTTTGGTGTAAAAATAAGGCAAAGTTAGTCGGAGTGCACTTCATTTTGCCTGATCTTGAACTAAAAACCTTTCTATTTCAGTTATTTCTTGTCCTATCTTTTTGATCTTTTAGAATGAGGATTCATATCCCAAAGAACTGAAACGTTTTTATGGACAAAAAAAAATTTCAAGGCCATAGTTTGACATAAAAAAATATTTTGAATTGGAAATATTTATGTTTAAAACCTTTACCTTCTTAAAAATAAAAAAAACATCAAATTTTAATAAGATTTTGAAAGAATTTTAATAAATAAGGAATTATATTCAACAGAAGAATCTTCTACATCTCTATAAATTATAAATATTGAATAGTTAGTTCCTTGGTTGAATTTGTATTAAATGTTTATTTATTTACATATTCAGATTTTGTAAGGTTTTTTCTATCTCTCTCTCTTAAGAAGTTTTAGAAATATTTTACTATTGTCGGGACCACGTAAGTTTGCAGTTGAGGGAGGAGCCTATTTACCATATGGTTTTGAATGAACCAATGAGAACTGTGCGGTGTTGCCAAATCTAATAATACCAGCTGATTTGAAAATATTGCTTTGTATATTCTAGTTAGTGTTGTCAATGGGCGATGTGGCAACGTCGCACTAGCCTTGTCTTGTGATTGGCTGCCACCAACTGCAAACTTACGTGGTCCCGACAATAAGTAGAAATATTTTTTAGTTTACTAATGAAATATATATATTCTGTTATGTAGTTATAGGACACTAGTTATATTGTTGGTAACTTACTCTTCATTGTACAATAAGATATAGTAAACTTACAACTCTGTCCATGAGGCCCACAAAACACCAGAATGCGTCTACCTCGTTGGACAGCAAGATAAGTATCGGAGACAACAGATCACTCATGCCTTGTACGTAACCGAGGTCAAAGTTGTACATGACGTAGGTCATCAGTATGTCATACAGGAGGGCAAGGTTGGAGTTGTTCTCTCCTTCAAAGAACGGATGAGTTCTGTCTGTTCGGTTTACGTCTTTTTCTGCAACACAAAATGTACTATTTTTAGTTATACATCAACTAAATTTGATTTGAATTTTCACCGTGACTTTAGGCTACACAATAACGTCAAGTATACATTCTGTTGCATTTACTGCTTCAAATTACGTTTTTCTTACAAAAAACAATTAAAATACCGTAGACATTTCTCAAGATTGAACCAGTACCCTTCTTTTTCCACAATTATCAGACTAGAAGGTCTGTTTACATGGCCAAAGTAGACCATCAATATTAATCTTGTTCTTTGAGATATGACCTCGTTGTTGGCAAAAACAATGACTGAAGTTTTAGAGGTGTTGCAGCAATTCATTTTTGGTACAAGCAATTTACTTGAATTGTAGTGTGAAGTATTTTAGCCAGTTCAAAGATGCAGTCAACAACAACGACCAAATTTGAACTGACCATGACCATTCAGCTTATTTTGTACCCTTTCTTTGTGTAAAGTTCTCCTTTTACTCACCAATGAGACTTTTGCGGTCCCGATAGTCGGAGAACCTCTCCTCTTGTCCCATAGACATGCTGCGCCACTGCAACTTCATGCGAAAGTATTCCTCCACCTTCTGCTTTCGTAATTCCCGCAGTTCCGCAGTGGTTGCGTGCCACGGGTAGTAGCCCAGCAGGTACTTCCACACGTCGTGACGCAGTGAGGGGCTGATACCCTGCCAGAATAAAATGTGATTTCAAATAAAACATTCTCAAAATTGTATTTGGAACTTAAGTGCTGTACCAAATGAAACTTGCTTTTTACCAACCATGATAAACAGTGTTAATAATCTTAGAAATAATGTAGAATGGAGTAAGGAATACTGGAATGTAAAAAAAAAAAAAAACGGATAATATTGGTAAACTCAAACGCAAAATTCATGATGTATCATTGCAAAAAAGCGCTCAAAAAACCCCTGCAATAATAAGTTATTAACCTAAAAGGTCACTTATCACTCTTCATGACAAATTCTGTAGAAATGAAATGTTTATTTGATATTATTTCAATTAAAAACTCAAATAATAACAATGGTAAGGACTGAAAATTTTTACAGAATATACTTCACAGTACCCAAGTAAGAAAGTATACACACACAGTGATGGTGTACTTACATACCTGTACCAATTAACTGTATTGTAGAAAGTCCATCTTTCTCATACTATTCTACATTATTTTGAATTGTAGAATAGGTAGGATATCAGCTAGCTTACCTTGGAGAATTGCAGGGACGCCCATACAACATACAGAAGAGACTAAAATACACAATATTTAGTCCCTTGGGGGACTTTGTCAAGCATAAAGGAATCTCTTCTCTATGTTCTGTAGCCTGCCTCTGTAATTCTCCAAGGTAGGAAAGGCTGATATCCTCCTTATTCAAAAATTCAAAATCCTGGCCTAGAGTCTTTCCTTTAACAAAACAACCTACAGCACTGCAATTATTTTTGCACAAAGTTCAATTTCAATCACACTGATAATTATTAGGCCTACTAAATTTATGAAGGATTGATCATAAAAACCAAACTCTAAAATATTAACCTGAAAAAAGATAGAATAGTTGTTATTATGTCAGGTCCAGGAGTCCAAATTATTTAAGTTACAATTGAATAATAAACATTTAATTTTTTTTTAGATTTTAAGTTTTACGATTTAGTTGTTTAGTTGTCTGTGTTTGGTATTGTGATACTTACGCCTCTGAACACTTTGTCCTTGACCCAGTCAGGGTCTGTTATCACTCCTTCCTCGTCCTTGGCCTGCGCCCACTGCTCGGCTGTGAGTGGCGGTCCTCTTGTAATGGTTGGACGAGGGGGCAGGGAGGGGATCATCTGGTAGTCCTCTTCTCCCTCCACCACTCCGCTCAACATCTCCCCGGAGCTGAGGCTGCGGTTCAGCAAGTCCACCACCTCATCTTCCGGCCGCTGCTCAGGATGCTTGTACACTAAATGTCAAATCAGACTTAAAAAGGCGTTAGGGGGGGCGCTTTACCAAGTGCTATATTGAAAAGTGCTAGGCCACACTAGGCGATCTGAACCAATATTGCAAGCTTTAGAGAATCAGTCATATATCTTTAGTTCGTCAATATATTCTGAGAAATAAATATTTAAAATTAATAATTATTTAAAATTAATAAATAATTAATTCTAGTACTAAATGATGATGATAATATTATTTGTATGTGTAAGAAATAATCACACTGATCTTATTGCCAATAATTATATCCTACAAACACTAAATAATCCTTCACACCGTAACAATTCCCGACTGAAATAAAGATAGCAACATAAAATAACCTAACCTATTTTTATAAGAAACAATAACGCAAATTGTGAAGATAACTATTTTTATTCTGTATTGGCTTACCTAAAAAAAATCAACAACAAAACTAGCGACACTGTTAAAGGTGAATAAACTGTTACACGTCAAATTTATAGAGGGATAAATTTAGGCTTTATCTTAACCGGGGTAAACTATTTTACAAAGACCTAACTTTACCCAGTGTTTGTAGAAGGGAAGTCAGAGTCAATTTCCCCCTGGTCTGTACCGATGAAGAAGTAGAACGGACCAAAAATTTGTCTACAGCCCTCGCTGTCAGAGAGGTTAGGTCGGAGCTGGTTAATGCAACTAATAGGTCTCACCAGCATTAACAAGGGACACATTAACATTAATAAGGGAAGTGACTCTTCCCTTCTACAAACACCAGGTAAACTTACGTCTTCGTAAAATAGTTTACTCCGGTTACGATTCGGATTAAATCCCGTTACAAAACTGACGATTTGATAGTTTGCAACTTTTGATCTGAACTTAGCATTAGGATTGGTGTGAACTATACAAAATACTAACGATCGCTCTGAAGGCGACATCAAATTGGATTACCGGAGTTGATTAAACACTATTTGAAAATACAAGTATAAAAGAAAACCTACTGTAATTTTGTTTACTAGAAACATTAGTTGGATGAAAATAGTCTTAATTAGTAAATTTGGATTGACCTCACTATTGCTACATAAAAAAGACCAAATCAGTATTTGCTTAACAAAAGAATCCAAACAACCAGGTGAACTTATATAATTCCACTTAAACGTTTTTATATCTTAAGAAATTTGTTTGATGCTTGAAAAATATCAAACCGTCAATATTTAGAAATAAAAACTAAACACTCACAAAACACATCCGTAAGTTTTGAAAACGTTTCCATCGTTGTTTCATAAGGTCGGTGTTTCAAGTTTGACATAAACTTCCAAACAACATCTGTCGGAGCTTCTGAAAAGAGGTTCAGTTCGGCAAAAGAGTGGTTCAATGATTCCGCCTCATTTCGTTCTGCCAAGACGATGTATAAGTTGCGATCCCTTGCGGATCTGAAAATAAAATTTTATAAATTTGCCTTAAAAAGGATATAAGCTTTATTTATATTTTTGAAGATAGTATCATTCACATCACAGAACACTCTTAGCAATTGAAATATAAACAAACAAAAGACTGATATTGCTTGTGGAAAGTGATAAGGAACATCGGAACTGGGTTGGTTCTTGTTTGCTGATAGCAAGTGAAGTTCAGGGTTATAAATTCTACACCCAAAGTGTCTTTAGAATCACATTGGTAAACCATGATACACTATGAACTGGAAATGCAAAAACTTGATGTGTCTAAGTATGTTTAAACAATACGCTTTTTAATTAGTTATATCTATTTAATGTAAATTAAAACAAAATTTTTTTAAACATGTTATATTGATTATTACTATATTATTTATTTTAATCAAAGAAGGATAGGTTAAAAATTGTGATTCCTAAAAATGTATTGACTTTGTTTGGTTTAAAGAAAAACATATTTATAAATATTAAGAATAAAATAATAGCAAAGTCTCAGTTACCTCAATATTTAATTTGCACAAAAGTAGTTTTAGGGTGTTGTAAATTCGTCAACAGGGCTATAATTATGTAGGCTACAAGTGCATATGAAAGAATGAAATTTCTAGATATATTCCAAAATCTTATTTTTTAGTTGTATAACTCTCGATTATTTAAAAATGTTCTATTTTCAAATTTAATTTCTTGAAACGTTCTAATAAGTATGAGAAAAATTAATAAGCCTAATTGCTTTTCTAGAACAATTTGGAATTTGAATTGTTTGGGAAATGTGTTTTAGCGATCAGTTTTCGGATTAATTGAATCTAGTATTCACAAAGAGGTGTAGGAACTTTCTGAAGGTTGAAACAAATAATCTAGATGCACAGTGTGAATCTGGGCATAGGGTAGAGTTGGAGGGATTTATGGTAATTTCTAAAAACATGAGACTCGGCATGGCAGCCGCAAGTATCGTGAATCTTCACACGACAGCTATTCTATGTTCAGCTATTCTATGTTACAGAGCCGACTCAAACTATTATTTTTCTATAATCTTGATGACCATGCTTTCATTTCAACAACTCTAGTCTGAGAGTGGTAGAGCTACAAAACACTTCTTGCCCCCACCCCCCACTTTTATAATATTTGGTCCCTAGTTTATTTAAGTCAATTTATGTATGGTTGTGTTTTATTCATCAATCAGTCTCACCTGCGAGTGCGTACTATCGCTCGCATCGCACTGACGAAGCAGTCTGCATTGCCGTACTGGAAGTGGAAGGCGTTGAGTGACGAGCCGTCTGCCTGCATAAGCACCAAATATCTCCCGTGCTTCTTCACCTGATAAGCCTTCAGTTCTCTAATCTCGATACGAACCGGCTTCAACCTCGTCTGTCCATCATAGCTCCCTGACAAAGGTATGAAATCTATCAAACTTACTTACTTGTTGTTATGGAGTGGGAATACATTTGTACCCTCAAAAGAGAATCCTAATCGACACATGTCAAAATAAAAATTCAACATAAAATGCTTTAATAATACAGAAAAATTATGTATGAGGAGGCTAAGTGTTTAAGAAATGTTGTCTTAGGAGGTTTTCAGTGATTAGTGGATCTTAAGCTTTACTAAACTTTTTTCAATTATTGTGAGACAGAACTTTGCATGGCTTGTTTTAACAGTTAAAGGAATTATTATGGTATAGAAATATAAGTTGAGTAACCTATACAATTTAAATTTGTTGACATAATTTAAATAAAAATCAAAGTTTTAACTATCAGTAACCAAAGATTAATCGTAGACTACACCTAATATTATCATAATCATAAGAATTACATTTAAGATCCATATTTAAAATGTCAAAAGCTAGTTAAGCTTAACTTTTAGCCATCTTATGTGGACTATAATATAATCATAATTTCATCCTAAACCATTAACCTTTCGCGGACGTTTGACGGGGATATCAGCCTAAGTCTTTGGCAATAAAGGATGGGTGGCGGATATACCTGCATATGGTTTGTTATGTTTTGAACGGGAGACAGATATATCCGCCTTATCTTCAGACAAACTGGCTGGTGTTTTTACAGTACCCAGATGTCTCGAGCTACCACGGCGCTACTTCCCCGCGCTCTCCACAACCAGTGCGAACTTGAAAGCGACTCGCCACCCACCCTCTCCCGCGTTCCCCCACCCCACGATGTTGAGTGTGTAGTACAACGTTGACTTTGTTGGCGCTAAAAGCTACAGTTGTTGTCTGTCTAGCAGCGTGAAATAGTGATAACATATTGTTCTTTATTTATTGCCTATCCTTGTTACGGCCATATTTTCAAAGACAAGCAGCTGATATAATCCACCGTATTTTGCTTATTCGCACCATTTATTTTGTGCATAAAAACAAGGGAAAAACTATTTAGATAGTATGAGATGTTCCATTGTGTTTATTTGATGTATGCAGGTATAAAAAAATCACAAAAAATGAAAATAAATTTTTTATTTTAATAATTTTTGCCCGTTGTAGGCTATTAAAGTCGCCAGTCTGGGAAGGGTAAATGCTTTAATCTTGCAAAAAATGATATATCGCGTGAATACGTTAACTTAAACGTAGTCATTAAAGTAAGAAAACAAATTTTTACCAATGTGATTATCAAATTGATAAAATCTTTTATGGTGATGACGTCTTGATCTATGGCGTCTGTGATGGAACGGATTCCTGATTATCCGAGACACTGATGGACCTGACCAATCACAGAACAGTTCAGTAAAACCCTACTATACATTGCAACTTTGTTTTCAAAACTAAGTTTCAGTCCGGTTTCGTCGATGTTTTCAAAACGTAGCATTCTGTGTCATAAATAGTTCAAGTTTAATAGCATTAAACAGTTTTAGTTATTATATAATGAAAACCAAAGCGAAATCAATTTTTTTTAGCCAATTGCACAGTGTTAGGTTAAATGGAGCCTATTATACGCTGCAACTGAATTTTACAAATTTGAAACTCTGATTGTGGCTAAATTGATCGACGCAATTGTTACGTAATGATTATCTTTTCTTAAAGAGGATGAATCTCAGTATTTTGTTGTTGTAAACTAAACTCAATATCTGGATTTTATATCCCAGAGATTTGAAAACAGAGCTGCAATGTATAATATGGGTGCAAGAGACGAGGAACCACCACCGGACTCAGCCATGCCAGACACCACCACCAGTCAATTTGCCCAATTTATGTGCACCATTAGAATTCAAGGATATGTATGGGTTATCTCAACCCTCATCAGTTTTCTTCCATACAAAGATTATTTTATACATAGACCTGTGTATTAGTTTTGCGTTTTGTTAAAAAAAATCCATGCTTCACACGTTTCTGTTGTTTGATACCATAGAACAATTAAAGTGACGGCTAGTTGCCATAGGCTCTAACACAAGGCCGCAGTGAGACAAAAGTGGTAACACATCTGTCTTGTCAAAACAAAACAGCTGATGCACTAATTTATAATGGAGAAAGCAATGTTTATGTTTAAATTTTTGTTATTTCTGTTATTTATGGCAATATTCATGACGTTGCCACACACCAGCGGCCTTGTATTACAGTTGCTTTTGCTCATGAAAACTCATGTTAACTTCACCTAATCTTACAAGAACATCAGTGGAGTGAGATAAAACATAATTGCCTAATCGTGTTGATGGTTTTATTGGTAAGATTATCTCATAAATATTGTTATTACAACTTTAGGCTGTTAAGTGTGTGGCTTGAGTGTATATTAAAAAATTATTTATTTGAGGTGAGGGTGAGAGTTGAACATTTTTATTAAACTGTTTTCGTCTTAACTATAGAAAAGTTACAAACTAACCAGATATCACCAAATATATGTTTGCCGAGCCTGACCTACTTCTAATCAAGATAACGTTATTCATTGTAATGGTATTGATTATGAGGCATTATCTTCACCACTTAACCCAACTAATGTCAACAGTCTAGATTTGAACTGGGAATCACAACGTATAAAACCATTGTCATGTTCCTACAAATCTTTATTGCTGTTAAATGGAATAGTACCGTACTTATAATATATATCGTAATTTATAATAATTATGAATAATAGGTAACATAATCGTATTTTAGTAAAATTTTGATCTGTAAAAAAATTTGAAGGAAAAATATTAAAGAAGAAAATTAACAAAGGATTTAAACAAATTTCATTGGATGTTTGGGAAATACAAAAATGTGCTATGCTAAAAATATAATTTTTATGTTTAGGAAAGGTATATTGTTGGTTTCTTATGGCTTACATTACAGTGTGTTAGGATTTAGAATAAAGATTGCAAAATGCAAAATTCCAACATTCGTTATTGTTACCCACAATCTCGATCTTTATTGAATCAACACATGAAAAATCGGTGATTTTGGACGATTTTTCGGCAGTTATTAAAATTAAAATTTCTTGTTTCCTTGCAAAAATCACAAATTTTTTCCGGGCATTAAAATTGACATGCAGTTTCCGGTTTTCATAGTTTCTAGGTTGGCTCGTCACCCTGGTCAGTGATTATGTAAATTGTTGATTTAAATTCCACAAAACACATTAGTAGGCCAAACTCTTCAACTCAAAATGTCATGTTAGTAAAAATAGTAGAATCGACCACAATTTACACTATGGCACAAAAGATGCACAATGCGGACTAGGAGCAATCCTCAAAATCATATAGGCTATGTTTGCATGGTAAAATATTAAAGAACCTATATGTTTATTTTCTGAGAAGGGTCTAACTCACCACTGTTAGTGCTGAATGTACGAGCTCGTTGGCCGACGGTTGTAACAAGAGACCAATCCTGTTCCGGGCAGTCTGATACCTCCGACACTTCGATCGGCTTCCATTCGATGCACTTGCCAAAACTCTGAACAATTGCACCAATTTAAACTGAATCCATAACAAGACTTCTATTGTTTTAGCTAATAGGTAAGGTTTTACTTATAGCTTATCATGTAAAAAGTAGCAAAAAGAAAAAAAATTAAATTAAATAGAATAAAATATTAATGGTTTATTTTGTAAAATGATTGTGGACAAATGTTTTGTCATTATGCATCCTGAAGCTTTTGACTTAGTGCAATTGCTAAATATTCCTATTCTCCCTACATCACTCTTTGTTTATAGTTAATACCATTAATGGTCCATGGTTTATGAATGGTAAGATAAAAAAACTTCTGTTCATTAATGGTTTTGAGCTCATCAAAGAGAAACTCTTAGACTCCTGTGAGTGACAGATACATTTAAGTTTAGTTTTAACTTACGTATTGCACAATGCTGAGTGTACCATTACAGAAGCCATCATCGCCTTCCTTTGCATTCACACTACGAAGTATTACTCCGTGATGGCTGAAAATTTCCTGAAATTATCAAGACATGTCCGTCAGATGGAAAATGTATTCACCAAACTCTAAATCATTAACTTTTTTAATTAGTACCGCATGCTTGGTTTCATTAGTTGACCTTTATTTCTTTATTAAAAATATCTTTAAAAGTTGGTGTAGTTATTTAACCATTTAAGACCTGATTGTGTAATAGACCCAAGATGATAAAAAGGAACAAATTCTTCAAATTCAAATTCATTATTCATTTACAGTACAAGTTATTATACAATGAATAGCGCAACAATGAATTCTTGTCACTAATGTGCAAATATAACCGACACGAGGTAATAGTAGGCATATGAGTTACGTGATGTGAAATTGTAGGTTCCTGGTGCAATTCCGAGGATTGAATCTGGACCGAGTTGCTATTTGTCATTAAGCTAGGGGCAAATCACGCAACTTGTTAAACAGTAAAACGTCTAGAGTTTTAATTGCTTCCTTAAAATAACTTTAAAAAAACTGCCGTTGTATAAAAATATATTAGTAGTTAAGTAAAAAAAAAATTTAATTGGTTCAGCCTCGATGACCAATAGAGAGGTGATGCCACAATGTCCCTGTCCAAACTGAAATAATTTCATTGGGCAGGGTTAACTTTTTTATAAATTTAGCATAATGGGCTTTTTACTAAAAGACTCTTAAATGAACCGTAATAACCTTCAGGATAATATGTATTTTGATTTATGAAATGTTTTTTTTATAGTAAACATCAATAAAGCCTCAATCTATGAAAAAGGTTTTAGGTCCTATTATTTTTCTAACCTAATTTTTGCTTTACTGATTACCTTAAGCTTTTTGTTAAATAAATGACAGTGTGGCCGCACATTCATGGCCTTTTAATCAACTTGAGAGAACCTACGTAAATGTACTTTTAGTTAAAGGCCTTTAAAATAAAGTGTCCATTGAAGGGGCTTTACATTTACAATTTACACCAAAATACACCATTTCGGGATCCTGGGATATTGTCATACCAACCAAACCAAAAAGTGAACTTTTATACTAAACTTAGGCTATCAAACGGTGCGCAGAGGTTATTTTCCAAGCATTAAAACTATAGAAAAGTTAAGAGTAAGTTAATGGCCATGCCACACCGACATCCGCCACTACCGCAGCCAGGACTACCGTGTGCGGACGTTATACCTCGAGCCGTGCCAGACAAAAAGTGCCACGTCTCCAGCGGGTGTTTTGAGCTGGGTTACATTACAATTCGTTTTAGGCCTACATAATAATCACATGTCTTAACTTACCTATTTAGTATGCCATGTAAACTTTCTGGGTTTTTAAAAGTTGTAAATCGTTTTTGGAAGCAATTGAATTTCCATTTGTTTGTTATTGAACATGAAAAAGTGGACTGTAATTATTTTTTTTATTTGAGACCTATTTTTTATTGTTTGAAGTGCAAGAACTTTAAATATGCGGTGAAGTGAATAAATTAATTGCTAATTTCTAATTGCTAACTCCTTTTATTCACACCAAAGTAGCCTAAGCTAATGCTAGGATAAAACCTAGTTTCAGCAAATGCTAGTTTTTATTCACTTCACCGCATATTTGAGAACAAATTAACCACTTTCACTTGTGTCTTGAACGTTATTTTTTGCTACACTACAAAGACTAACTTAGTTATTTTTTAAATAAAACATAGGCTACAGTGGAATACTTCTTTAATCCAGTTACGAACATTTCAAAACTAATGGAATTTTTTTGCCTTCTATTAAATGTTTATGTTAACATTTATACCGTTTTGGTTGTTGTAAATTGAAACAATTGATGAAACAATAACAAATCTTTGTTTGTTTACCTCAACAAAAGGCCTATAACAAATTTGATATGAAACATTAAATTTGCACTGTACCCTAAACATTCTTTTTCCGTGGTAAACAATCATGAACTTTTGCTGTGTGATAAACATATCACGAAAACAATTGATTACATAGTAGTGAAGCGAAAATTCTAAACAAAATACCCTACATCGACAAACAAAAGAAACATGTTAAATTCAATTTTAAACTGTAATAAACCTACTTTTAAAATTTAAATTAGTTGCACCTTTGCCCATGCGATAGACAAAACTCGGTGTGGCATGGCCTTAAGGGTATCCAATCCATAACTTACATTTCCCTAACCCTGCATAACAAATCAGCATAAATTACTTTGGAACACCAACTTAATTGTCTGGGTAGCCAAGTGCTCGCCTTCAAATCTGAAGGTTATTGGGTTCGATTCCAAACGAGATTGTTACCGAACTCAAATGCCATTTGTCATTGGGCTATTAATAAAAAGTTAATGATTGTCTAACAAGGTAATGTTAGGTTGTAAGTTAGGCCTAACCAGACAAAGGTTTGACCTCTTTAATTAATAGCCTAACAACAAAGTGTAAGTAAAATGTGAACGGCATGAACACAAAAATAGAATAAAAACTTGAAGGTAGTCTACAACGTGGTGTAGATTTAGGCCTAACTAAGTTAGCCTTCAACAGCTGTTTTGACACAGTGTAAGTTATTGAACATTTCCTAAGTTAGATAAGTTAGGATTTATGAGGCAAAAAACATTAAATATCACCCCAGAAAATATCAACTGAAATAAAAATTAAAAATATAGGTCTACCTAGGCAGAAAAATTGAGTGTATCTACATTTTAAACTTTAAAGTTAGATATCAAAATTAAAAATTCGTTTGGGGGCACCTAGCTATGTGGAATAAATAATACCCAAATTGCATATTTTATTATTAAAATAGCCTATATGGGTACAGTTTCTTAACTGGGCTATGCTAATATCGATTGAAACTATCGAATTGAAAATATTGATTAATAATCGATATTTTTATATAAATCTAGGCCTATTATAAAATTAAACTATCATAACCTAACCCAACCAACCAAGCTTGCTGATGGTAAAAAAATCGCATGAAGGTTTACTAATCAAATCGATAGTTTCAATCGATATTAGCATAGCCCAGTTAAGAAACTGTACCCAAATATATTATTATTTTAAGTTACCGTAACTTGATACGGTGTTGTCTTTCACCTCGATGGCAGTAGCCTGTTATTGTATCTGGTCCTAAGTTAGCCCTACTTTTTTAACTCTAAACTTTAATTAGATTATGACGGATACTCTCCACGATTTACAATAGGCTACTATCAAAAGCACACACGTTTGGAATAGCTGAATTCTCTAGGTAGGCTATTTAGATTGCCCTGGGAAACAATACCTAAGTAAAGTATGATGAAACACATAGGTAGGCTACCAAGCAGGTCTAAGTTGCTGGTTAGGACCGTACCACTTACATAAATCAATTACAGTTATTAAAAGTTTATATTTAAGACAAATCTTTACTAATTTAGACCCAAAACAACTTTCTGACACTTAAACTTAAAACGACCATTCATGCAAATAACTTAACTTTTGTGAAATAAATACTCACAGTTCCTTGTTCGTTGAAATCATCCATTTCTGTCAACAATAAAAGATGAGACACTAGCAGTAAATATCTTCACGAATATCTGAATTTTAATTTCCTGCAATTAATGAGAAACTATTCATATTTTAATCACTTCGGATTCTCAAAATCTTGTTTATTTTACTACACAGTAGAATGACAAAACAACGACATGACACCTGTGACCACTCTGACTCAGCAGTCAGCATTGCAAAAACGAAAACGTCGAAAACATTATTACAAAACAAACTCTATCAGCTGTAAAGAAAAGCTATCAGTATTTTAAAAGCCAGTCTAAGCAATTACCCATACTATACAAAATATCTCAATATTTGTCTTTTCAAAACTTTATAAAACTTGATCCAAAAATATTTTTTGGGATTTCTAATGGTTAAGTAATGTTTAAAACTAAAATGTTATCTTTGGATTTTTAAGCTACAATTTATTTCTTTTATACTGGACCAAAATTAAAAAAATGCTCTAAATAAACTATATAAAGACAGATATCTTTCACTTCGGATGAAACAAAACATAATAATTCACTATCAGGATAGTTAATTAAACGTTTTTTTTCATTTCCTGAACATTTTAAAGATAAGGATAATGTGAGCTTTGGAATGGACCACCTCATTTACTTACGCACACTCTATGGTGCAAAATAGCCGCTGCGGCAATTATTATTGCCAACCACAAAAACTAAATAAACCCATTTATAATGCAACGTGATGTTTATATTACCCTATTATAAACATTGTATATCAATTAGTTTTTTGGACGTGTGATATTCCGTCTTTAGCCCAGAAAAGAAATTTCTCGGGACGGATATATCCGCTTTCAGCCCGGAAAGTAAATTAAGATTGACGGATATATATCCGTGCATAGCCCTGGAAGGGTTAATATATTACGTATAAAACAATAGGTATATAAAGTTTTCTTTTGGGAACAAATCATCATTATAGTACACTCCACATAGGTACGGTACCTAATAAATAAGATCAGTGTTCGATTTTTTTTTTCATTTAAAATTCTCATTCTTTAAAGCAAAGTACCCATTATTACCTGTAAAATTACCCGTCTAATACCTTTCCTCGTTTCCTCCAGATGATTAACGACGTTAGATGTCTCCCCCCAACCAAAACCCTAAATTCCCACCGGTCCCCTAGTGAGTTCTGAGTTGGAGTTATATTGGTGACAGTAAGTCATTACATTTTCCTAAATATCTCGCTTATTTGATGATCCAATTAATTCTTGTATACTCGTGATCTGCTTGTTGGTTTAATCTGAGTACCCAACATATTTTGATAAAGAAAGTTTACTACAGTTAATTTTTTATTTTTCGGGGATTTCCGTTGTTTTCTGCGGAAATAGTTATTTGAAAAGTTAACTGTTAATATGACATTTAATGATACAAAAGTACAACAGCTGACCAGCTGATTTACAGCCAGTGCTGCCAACGTATTTTGCGTGCATACGGCCTTGTCTGCATGTTACGTGCTCACTATTTCGTGCCTTCACGTTGCAAATCTGGAGTGAGACAGTTAACATTGTCTCACTGATGAGCGAATTGGCCACTTTGCTTTCTCAAATCAGTGAGAGAACATGTAGTCCGGTTGCCAAACCCTATATTTTTGGCTAACCCAAAAATTTTGGATTAAGTTTTTTTGTTAATGGATAATTACTAGGACATGTAAAGCTTCAAGAAAATGCATGATGACATCCTGTCACCTTTGGGCAATTCGAGATTTGGCCGCCATCTTGAATTTTTCCAAATATCTTTGTATTATTTATATATATGTAATATAGGGTTGTTGTATATCATTTTATATGTTTTAATGTACGCTGAGTTCAATGGGAGCACTAAAAAGTATCTAGAAATAGTAATTTCTTAAAAACCACCGCCATCTTGAATTTTTCTAAATGTTTTTGGATTATTTTTTTATTTGTAAATATATGGTTGTTTATATCATTGTATATGTTTTTATGGATGCTGAGTTCAATGGGAGCACTAAAAAGTATCTAGAAATAGTCGTTTCTTAAAAACCGCCGCCATCTTGAATTCTTCGCTACTGGCCATACCAATTACGCACGTTATGGGCTCTTCTACCTCACTTCCTTAGAAAAACTCCCTCCATCTACTTTGAACCATTTCCTTGGTGGCAATCACGTCATGCGTCATAATGGCTTATGAAATACAATATGGAGCGATATGTGGATAGCGATAGAGACCACATATGATATTCGGCCACAGTCAAGGTGGGATAATAGGTATTACCATAGATTAAACATACTCCCTAATCTATGGTATTACTCTAAGACCAGAAACTTTGAAAACATGGGCATTAAGCTTGCACATATGCTCACAATTAGAACTGGATCTATTATAGAAAAGTTTGGTGAAGAGAGGAAAGATGTGATACAAGACACGCACAAAAAAGAAATGCACTCTCGAATCATTTCTGATAGAAAAGACAGAGAAGGGATAAGAAACAACGATCGATGGATCTGCACTTCTATGGTGTGTGCAGTGGTCAGAAAAGGGAAGTGTACAGGACTTCATAAGTTCACTTAAAAAATCCCTAAGCAAACATTTACAACATGGAAATATGAATAACCTGATTTTTGATCGGTACAGGCAATATAGTACCAAGGATCACACAAGATCGGGTAGATCTACAACTAAGGCACGATCTACAAAATTCTCACGAAGAAGCTGATACGATTATTGTACAACAAGCTATATTAGCTGCTGATGATGAAGACAAGCAGAACGTTGCGTATCAGATGACACAGAGACGTTTTTATTCTCCTCATTTACTTCTAAAATCTTAAAAAAACATTTACGCCACACTACACTATTTTGACGAACTTCCCACGCAAGGATTTAGTCCAGAAAACAGTTGTTTGCCGCCAGCTTAATCAAATGGGGTTTCATTGTGTACTACTGTACTGCAATGAGTTTTACCGGACATCAATCAGCTGATTATACTGTATTTGGGTGGCAATGAGTAGTTATAAACAAAAACATAACCTCTCTTAGAGGCTCGTCCGGCAAACACTTATTTTCAGGACTAGTAACGTAATATACTATTACCATTGACTTTAAAGTCAATGCTATTACGCCACACTACATTATTTTGACGAACTTCCCACGCAAGGATTTAGTCCAGAAAACAGCTGTTTGTTGCTGCCAGCTGTTTCATGTTTTAAATAAAAACACAATTGAAGTTTCAATACTATTTATTATAAATTGTAATTAACATCGACAGAAATACATTTAGGCTGCAGTTAATGAGCCGACATCTTTTATTCTGAATCGGAAATCAAATAATCAAATACACTTAAAAGAGAATACACAAAGACCAAAGAGTAATACCTCTAAACATGGACTTAACTATATACATATATCAACACAGCTTATTCAAATGGGGTTTCATTGCGTACTACTGTACTGTATTGAGTTTTGCAGGACACCAATCAGCTGATTATACTATATTTAGGTGGCAATGAATGGTTATAAACAAAAACATAACCTCTCTTAGAGGTTATGACTAGTGATTTTTAGTCCTTTAGTTGGTGAAAATATATTAGGATTTGTACAGATTAGTAGTATGGCGTAAACTATAGTACGTAACTCGTCCGGTAAACACTAATTATCAGGACTAGTAACGTAATATACTATTCCGCAACTATTCTGATGGAATCACCTGTCCCAAGGCTATTAAAAAGAAAAGAAGGTTGCCTCAGTCGCGCGTATGACGTCACCCGCCGACCCGGACGGTGCTGCTTTTAATTCACACAGCTGTCACCTGTCAAGTACTTTGTTATTGTTGTTTGTTTTTCATTTATTTATTTGTAAACAGATCTGGGTCGGCGGGTGACGTCATACGCGTGACTGAGGCAACCTCTTTTTCTTTTTAATAGCCTTGCACCTGTCCAGTGTCGCTCAAGAATTGACATAGGAGCATCTGTCGTCAACAAACATATGGAAATAATACCTGATTTGCTTGCAGCTCATGGTATCCTGCAATGTGCTATGGAATCGGTAAGATTAAAGCCATTAAGAGGTTTTGAAAAGTGGACACTCCTTATCAATGGTTAGAGATATACATGCTGATTTTTGTGAAATAAAGCTGCAAGCATCGAAGTTTATGTCTACTTGTTGTGGTGTATCTAATTGTAACACAACTTCTTAGGCTCGTGTCAAACTGTGGGCTGACAAAGTTCGAAGTGCAACGACTCAACTGCCAAAACTGTGCACTCTACCAACAACAAATTCAGCGTTTGAAGAAAAGCACACCTTCAAACCTGTATTTTGAAGCATTCAATGTACTCTGACCCACCAGATTTAGATGCCCACTGCTTCACGGTTTTTACAAGGATGAAAACTCAAGATGCCTCCTACCCACAACTATGCCGGAAAATATTTTATTGGCTCCGCCGGAAATTTTGAAGTTGGTTAAGTGCTCTTGCAGAAACGTATTGCCATGCAACAGCAATCAGTGTAGTTAAGAGTGCCAGCCTACCATGCACCATGTTCTGTACATGCTCAAACAGTTCCTATTCCAATGATTTGACACGTGTTGCTGGATTAGAAGTAGACTGGGAAGAAGACCCTGTTGAAGAACCAGTGGCAGACTGATCTCTGTTTGGACAATGTTCGTTTGTTCTTAGTCATAAATGTTTTTTTTTATACCAATATGTAATCAATATCAGAATTTCACCTATTACACTGTTTACTTGAGTCATTCACTTTTTTGTACAATAAAAAGTGGCGTTCTTTACAAATAATTATTCACAACACCTATATATTACAAAATGCCAATTATTTTTAGTTTTGTTTTTAAATTATTCTTTTTTATATGGTAAGGACTTCTAAGAAATGGCTATTTCTAGATACTTTTTTTAGTGCTTCCATTGAACTCAGCGTACATAAAAAACATATAAAATGATATACAACAACCCTATATTACAAATATAAAAATAATCCTAAAATATTTGGAAAATTCAAAATGGAGGCGGTTTCTAAGAAATGGCTATTTCTAGATACTTTCAAGTGCTTCTATTGAACTCAGCGTTCATAAAAACATATAAAATGATATACAGCAACGTCAACAACCCTATATTACAAATATAAAAATAATCCTAAAATTTTTGGAAAATTCAAAATG